ACAAAACCAAAACTACCAAAACTTACCAAAACTTTAGTTAGTTATAACTAAAATAATAATATAAATATTTAAGATGAAATAATTATTTCTATAATTTATAATAATTTAATTTAATTTTATATATCTGAGTACATTATAATCGGGTTATACTGTATACTTAGATACAAAACCAAAACAAAACAAAACCAAAACTTTGTTTTGCAAAACAAAACAAAACTAAAACAAAACTTTGTTTTGCAAAACAATACAAAACAAAACCAAAACTTTGTTTTGCAAAACAATACAAAACCAAAACTTAAAATGACAAAATTTTCAAACACTAGCTCTCACTAACTTGAAAAATGATCTAGATAACTACAATTACGCCATGAAAACTACTGTCGCCGACTTTCTTGTTGGCGTGGCAAAAGTGGTGGAAAATGAGAAAAATCACCAAGCTGATCCAAACTCTAATTATAACAGACGTATATCACAGGTTCAGGCAATACTTAAAGCTCTGGCCACTACTCTAAGACAGCTGTTTGCCAACACCCCTAACGCTGCATTTGGCCACAATTCAGATGACCTAGATCACGTTAACAGTCAATATGGCATTATACTAGAAAATACGCCTAATCTGATTAACAATGATACTCAATTGGCGTATCAGTATTGCAGTCAAGGATGGTATAAGAATTTTGGCGAACAAATGATAGAATTTGTAAACATTCAGATATCTGGCCGTCAGAGCAGTAATAATCAATTGCCGACAGAATATGAATATCCGGAAAGCGCTAAAACGGAATTTAAAAATGCGTTTGGTCAAATTGATCAGATATTTTCAGTTTATAATTGAAAGGTTAACATTAAGACAAATCAGTAATTATGGTATAATATATGTATTTTATAGAATACAATACATTATGTACATTTACTATAAAATGTCTAGAGCTACACGTCTGAATTTACTAAATTACCTAGTCATAATGTATGTTGTGCCCTCCTTATCTATAAATATTCATCACTATATATCGTTACTTTATTTACAAAATAAATGTCTTTTTGCAAATAATTTTGTTTTGTGTTTTTGTTTGATAATGAGTTAAAAATGTATTAAAAGTTTGGCATTGAGAGAGAAGTGTCTCAAGTGTCCTCCAACTCCTTTATATAGCGTAACGTTGTATATGACTACTCATTATTATCCGGTTATACGGGAATAAATGGTTTTCTCTTTTTCTGCTTTTTTATACGATAAGGTCTAGAGTATTGAATACATTAATTTTATGTACCTAAAATTATATAAACATATTTTACAAAATTAATCATTGTAATTTTATAACAAGTATTTATAGCTATGAATATAAATTATACAATATTTTACCACAAATTATATTTATGTATTAAGTTATAACATGTGTTTGAGGAATAATCTACGCAATTGAACGCTCAAAACCTTAATCGCTGTAATTAGCAAAACAATGTCAGAACAAAGAGTTACATAATTTATAAATAAAATTACATTAAAATACGTTTTATTTTGATGTATATCTATTTATATAATATGTTTTATTAAATTATACGATTATTATGTTTATGTTATTCTAAACTAGATATTTATTAACGAATTAAAAAATTCTAATTTTTAAATAATAATAATTATTTACAATTATTGTCAATAAAGTGTATTATTTAAATTATTTCTAACAAATAAAAATAAACAATTGATTAACGCTTAAATAAAAATCTCCTTGTGAATTAATTTATCAAAATTTCTTTAATATCTGGTTTTGATTTTTAAAAACATGTCGATTAATCATAAGAAAAAAGTACGGTTGTACGTTCAAAGTTGTATCTCCGAAGGTATTAATTTTGGTAATTAGGAAAAATTTTTACTCACGCTCATGACAAAATATTTACACTCATTTATATTTACTAGAAAAATTTTATCGCGAATCACACCTACTGATACACTACTGTATACTAATACATTCTTTAGTGTCGGTGAAAATTTTTACGTTTACTCACAATCACGATTTTTCACATTAACTCACGCCACTCATTTTTTAAACTATACTCAAAATATAATTTGTAACATGGTAAATAGCTTATAAATGTTAATAATAAATAGATATAATTAAATTAAATAAATATTAAATTATACTCGAAAGCCTAATGTTTTACTTAGTTAGTTATAATTATTATCTGGTTTCTCATTAAATAAATCGTGAGTAGCGTAAATCACGTTCACTCACACTGTCTTTAAAAATTTACACGCTCACTCACAATCACGGTCTGTCACGCGTGAACGTGACACGTTTACTAAGGCTAGTAGATATAAATAATTAAAATATGAATGAATATTATGTTATTTACAGTATATTAATTAATTTTAACTATTTAATGTGTTATATTTCTATTTAAAAACATTACAATTAATCATGTTTTATTTTATACATTAAATAATAAAATTAGAAAAGACCAGAAGTAGACGTGTGTAATATACACGTACTGTATATGAAAAATACTAATCTATTATTCCTAAATACGATTCACGAAACTATGCATTAAATTTTAAAATAACTTCAATTAATTACATAATCCACTTGCAGTAGACAATAAATGTCAAAAATTCATTTAATTAATTACAATAACACTGTTTATAAACTGCGACTAAAATTCAATATAGTAACAGAATTAAAATATTAATTCATGAATTAATATTAAAGCCATATCGTTGAAAATGAAATTCTTATACAATATACTTTTTATAGCACTGGTCGCTGGACTTGTATTATGTAAGTCGACATAAGACATGATTATTATTGACAATAATCATATTTATTAAAACTGTTATTTAGGCGACTCATCCGATTCGTCCGATTCCGACTCTGACTCGTCGTCGGACAGCGGCTCGTGCTCTGGTCATAAGCATCATCAAAAACATTATAAACACCAGGACAAAAAGCATGGCAAACACGAGCATATTGTGTACGTACCCGTGCAGACACCCACCCGCGCCCACACAGTTATCTATCGACTCCTTCCCGTTCAGACTCCAGTTGTACGCGTAGAGTTTGATCTGATTACACTACTTTTGGACAACGGGTTTGGCCAAGTAGTCCAAAACTACCGAGAACAATTGGTTACTTTTGGCACTAATATGCGCACCTATTTTACCTCGATATACATGGATGCGGACAACTTTGACTTCTATATGAACGGCGATATGGCAGACATGTTGGACTCGTTGGGTCGCGGTTTGGCTGAGTTCCGCGCCAGACTTCGGGACCAGTCGTCCGACATTGTATACCATTGCAAGTTTGTGGAGGATGTGCTAGGTCAATTGAGAGACTACACNTGGCAGACATGTTGGACTCGTTGGGTCGCGGTTTGGCTGAGTTCCGCGCCAGACTTCGGGACCAGTCGTCCGACATTGTATACCATTGCAAGTTTGTGGAGGATGTGCTAGGTCAATTGAGAGACTACACCCGTCAAACGTTTAGCGTTGTGGTGACTAAAGAGCGCGAGACAAAACACTGTAGCGTTTTTAGGGACACCAAACTGGCCGACACTCTGGTCACTCTATCGGGCAATTTTGGACAGTATATCACCGACGATAACGATCGCGCTTTCCATCGGGTGCTCAACGGTTTCTACTCAGACATTGACAGCGCTTTCAACCGCGCCCTAAACGCACGGGTGGTTCGCGTTAGCGCCGGCAGACAACTGTCCGTTCAGTACTCGTATCTCCAGGACTTTAGCACCGCCTGGAATCGTGTGTTCGATCGTATCAAGGTCACTTTCTACGAAGATCAACCCACAGCCATTGCTTTCTAAAATACTTTAGTAGTGTTTTGGTTATTAATTAAATTGAAAATAAAAATATTTGTTATTTTGCTTTTAATGACAAACAAATATTTGTTTCATACCATTCTTTAAAAATTATTGTGATTAGTGTCATATAAACTATATTGGTAAATTAATAATCACATCAACATAATCTGAGGAGTTCTGATCAAATGTTAGATTTAATATGTTAACCCAATAATACAAGTTACAATTAACTAAATTAATTATTAAAATATAGTGGAAGGTTAGTAGTGAGGTTTTGAATTATGCTAAACATACGGAATTCTTAATTAACAAATGGCTGCTTATTATTAAACAAATAAGGTGAAAACCTAAAAATAACAATAATGAATCTTTATTTGCGCCACACATTGACTGTTATGATAGTGTTGGTGGTTGTGGTATACCCGGCATCGGGAGGAACCCTATTAGACGATTTTGGCGATTGTTTGCAGCGAAATAAGGTTCAATTGGCGGCGGATCCCCACTCCCCGCACTGGACCCGAATTGGTTGGGGTCTGCGAACGGCCATGGTGCATTACCTGAGCGACCCAGCTAACTTCAATTGCGCCACTTACAATGATATGAGACAGTTTATGGGCGAACTATTGCCGGAAGTAATGGATAAAGTGATTCAGAGGAGTAACCCGGGCTCAAAGTTTGCCACCAGGATGGCCAACGTTAAGAGACTACTGATTGAACTATCTGAGTGGATTGAGAAGTATTTCCCAAACACACCACACTTTAATGAAGGTGATCCGCTGCACAGCTACGCCGCTGTTCGGGGTTCGTTCAAAAAGTTGATGATCGATGTAAGCGCTAAACTGAACCGTCGCGATGAGATGAGCTATCAAAAGTGCCTAATGGGCTGGTATTTGGTGTTTGGCCACGAAATGCAATTAGCCATCGAGATCAACATGAAAGAGCACATGGATGAGGGCAGGCAATTGGCTCAGGGCTATCAGTATCTACGCGACTATTTTCACAAATGCGACGAAACATTTAGAAAGATTTACGAATTGCTGTCCGGTTTTGATATCGTAGATAATTTTAAAGCCCAGAAACAGAAGTACGATGAAAATGATGATGACTGAAGACATTTCATTAAATGTTATAACTTATAACTTATTTTAAAAGTTTAAAAATAACTTATAAGTAAATAAAATATATCATTAAAGTTTTAATAATAAGAATGCTATTTATTAATGCTTATTTTGACAATATTTAAATCATGACACATTTAGAAAGTGATCATGCTGGAATTTTAGAACTGAATGGTGTAAACGACATCATCCGAGTTATAAGTGTTGAAAGTGTTGATAATGTCCACAAAGTCTGCGTTCCATTCGTTGTGAAAGTCCAACAAATAGGTGTATTTCGTGGGCACTCGACTCGCGCCCGCCCTAACGTAGTCCAGCTGTCGGTCGAGAGCGCGATCGAAAGCGGTGCCGATGTCGTGGTAGAAGTCATAGAGAACGTGTTGGAATTGATCCAAGTTATCCACACCAACTGCTTCACCAAGGTTCTCGCTCAGTTTGACCAGGGTGTCGCCCAGTTTGTGCTCTCGGTAGATTGAGTCGTGATGGCCCTCGTGCTCGTGTTTAGTGATCTCGTCAAACGATTTGCGCATATAGTCTCTGAGTTTGTCCAAACGGTTTTCTACCCTCTTCAGTCTGTCCCCAAATTGTTTGCTACCCTTATGACCAAGTTTGTCGCCAAAATGTTGCAGCCCTTGTCGCAGGTCTTCCAGCAATTGAGCAGCGTCGTCCTTCATGTTGAAGTCAAAGTTATCATGGTCATTGGCAAGGTAGGTGAAGAATGAGCGCAAGTTGTTGCCCAAATCGTACAAACGATCTTGGCACTTGACGGCCAATTCACCAAGATGGTTGTCGTTGAACAAAGTGATCAGGTCAAACTCCACGCGTACCACTACTGGTTGTGGGTCGTAGCGTTGGACGGGAACGTACACCACGTGGTCTTTGCCCTTATGGTTGTGCTTCTTATGGTGTTTATGACCGGAGCCCGAGTCCGAGTCGGACGAGTCGCTTGAGCTCGAGGACGAAGAGTCGGCTGTGAATTGTATAGGCATTGAAATAAATGTGATTTTTATAGCATTTAAATGCGATTACATACCGATTACGAGCCCAACGGCTAACGACAAGAATAAAATTTGGTATAATTTCATTATTAGACTAAAGTAGTAAACTTTATTAGCTTGCTTACTTTTTCGGATGATTATTCTCTAGATTCTCGATTGTTTATATACAATTTTGGAAAAATTAATCATCATGATGTTTACGTCAATTTTGACAGAAATTTAAGTGCAGATATTTGACTCAATTCAATTAATTAAGGTATAGACAATTGTTACTATGATAGAATATTCATTAAATAAAAATACAATAAACGAGATTTATTGATTTAAATTTATATTTAGATTATATTCTTTATAACACACTTTTAAAAATCTGTTATTTTCGTTGATGTGTCAAACAATTTGTTGAAAAATTATCTAAAATATAATTTAATACGACAAAGGTGCACATTAGTTAAATTAATTAATTATATTCACCATATTAATAAGTATTACTATGCAAAGGACACTTGTCAAAAATATACTGGCAAATAATTTAATCATGAT